ATCATTTACTTTTTAAAATATCAGTGTAAACTTTAATAACAGAATATTTCGTTATTTCGTTCTTCAAATCCTTGATCCATCACAGATTATTCTTCACAGAGGTGAAAGTTTGGAAGAACTATTTATTATTCTTGACTTACTTATTGATTTTCATAATGAAGGTCTTAGTTCGAACCATATCTCAATCAAATTTGACATCAATTAATCAGAATCACGCATTGGGCATTGATGAAACGATATACCTAATTTACAATAATGGATTTAATTAACTCGGGGTAGCCCGAATTACTAAACCCGATAAATAGAGAATAAATAGGAAAAGACAATGAATATAGGTCGCGGGGACAACTTTTGTACTAATAATGATTCGTAGGAAAATTACAAGGTGAATGTAATATTCAGATCAAGAAGTAGATGTCCTAACAAGACAAAAGCATGTCTTTTTATACTAGCTAACCTCCCAACCACCCACCCTATTCTTGTGGGGCGGTTGAATCACGATTTTGACCGGATCCATTTACACGCGGATGTGGTCGGGGACGCCTCAGCCGGGGTCGATCACAACCCTAGCCAACGTCGACCTCGACCCCAGTCGAGGTCGCCCTTTGCCTCCCATATCGCGCCTTCCCCTCTCCGGGTCAGTTTGCCCCGAATCCATTCCTAATATATCCATCATAGTATCATACAATATATATTTAACACAGATGAGAAACTATGCATATTATCATTGTCTTTTTGGGGAAGGGGAATTTGGTTCTGTTTTTTAAGGTGCACTATGTCAAGACACTAAAATTGCAATGACGCACACCAGAAGACCAAATCAAATCAAGAATTCATTTATGGCGAAAGTGGCAACAAGAGAAAGCATGGATCACGCTAATTAATAGGATCTTGTACGTGTTGCAAAAACTCTGCTTAGGGTACTATCCAGTAATGGTATTTCCCCCTAAACATGTTATTGCACCAGTTAATCTAACATTTATGTCACATGTCATAATTATGCATTCTTGAAATATTTACTTTTATAAAAAATTTGGTAATCTTGCATTGATATACGTCAGGATACTAAAAAAATATTTTGATAAATTCTGAAATACTAATTTAAAAATACACATTGAGCATTGATCAATTCACATAATTTGCATGCGGTAACTAATTTATTTATAAGTATATAATTTATTAACTCAATACACATGATATATTAATTGCATATACATCATTTTTAGACCATGATACATAATGCAAGTAGACCATGCCTTATGGTATAACAATTATCCTCCCCTTTAATTATATATTGTTTCCCAATGCCGTAGAATTTTCTTATTTTAAAATTCTGACATTGCTCCATCTCATACCACAAGTTATAAAGCATGGTTTATTTTTAGAACTTTTGGAGACCTATATTTATCTAGATTTTCATGTATTATTCTCCATATCGGTAATTACCAACCACTATTATTCGTAATTGAAAATTATTGACTAGTTAATTTTTTTTTTTTTTTTTAATTTCTAAGCCCCGAAGATTAGAAGTTTTTTTGACAATACAACTTATATAAACCTACTATGTATATATATACGAATTATATGTTTAACTCTTAAACTCTTTTAGACGATGTATCAAAAAAATTCCCACACAAATTACATTGAGTACACCTTGACCTAATATGATAGTGGATAGGTAAATTGCAGTAACTAAATTTACTAAATAAGAAAAGTAGTGTTTGACGCTCATAAAAATTTTTATATTATGGTAGTCTGAATTGACTTATATGACATTCTTCATAATCTATCAATTAAAAACAAACTGAGCTACTATACCCGGGCGGGGCTTTCATGTTTCACCAACCAAACAAATGTATATTTAATGTTCAAAATTTGTTTCACCAACCAAACAAATGTATATTTAATGTTCAAAATTGTATAGGACCACGTAATGATGATGATGGGCTGTATTGTCAGGTTAATATCACACACAAGCAGATGAGATGAAAGGCAGCTAGCCCAGTTCCCATAACTTTAATTTGCAGCAGACTGCAAGAAAACCCAACATTATATATACTCCGTATATTTTTGACATTTCTATCTACTCAGAGAATGTTGTCAATTTATATCGTGGATCAGGGTCTACAATGCTAAATTAAAATGATGTCGTTTTGATATTTATGCTTTAATAAATTTTGTAGCTTCTCGTTTATCATATTCAACACAAATTTTAATTTATTCTAGATACAGAATCAATAATCTTAACGTACAAAATTTCATAACACGAGACACAAAAACTCACAAATCACAACACAAGACGTCAAGACACATATACTTATATATATTTAATTATTTTCAAATCTGATTTATGTAGATAATATATATCCTATAGACATATAATTTAATAATACAACACATAAATTCGTAAAATAAGAAAATAAGACACACAATATGTTGTGTATTACCAACTACATACTAATCTATTCCAGGTACAGAATCCATACACTTAATTATTACTACTATTATTATTACACAAGGACATTTTAGTCTTTATATCACTTTTTCATTCCCTACCAAATAATTCTATTATTCATCCCTACCAAACAATGTAATTTGAATTCCTACTTTATTCACACCTTATTCTTTTCCCACAGAATTACAATTCTTTTCCACCCTAATTCCTTACTCCCAACCAAACGCCCTGTTAAGGTACATAATTGCATAACATGAGACACAGAAACGCATAACACAAGACACATACACATGTTTTATATTTACTTTAGTTCAGTTACAAAATCAATATTCTTAAGGTACATAATTGTATAACATAAGACACAAAAACGCATAACACAAGATACAAAAACGCACAGCACAAGACACAAAAGCGTATGTTTTATTTACTTTATTTTAGGTACATAATCCATACGCTTAAAGTACATAATATGAGACACAAAAACGCATAACACAAGACAACACATGCTTTACAATAGGGGAAAAAGAAAACTTGAATTGAAAAACAAACAAACACCAGGACTATGTGGTCTAATGGTATCCGGGTTGGACTTCCATTTGGAAGATTATGAGTTCAAGCCTCAGTGGAGGCGTTATTGGTTCTTTGTGTTTCAGTAGGTTGAGAAAGTATATGAACAGATACTACAATGTAATAGAGCCAGTAACTTTCAAAAAAAAAAAAAAAGAATTGAAAAACAAACAGTCACCATCAAAATTAAAATTCAAAATTACATTGTTTAGAACCATGACTTACAATGCACGGTAGATCTTGGTCCACGGTATAATGATTGGAGAATGTTTTATATCATGAAAATTCCCTTTTTACTGTCTTCTCAGAAAATGTTTTATACCATGAAAATTCCCTTTTTACTGTCTTCTTTCCCCTTCTATCCGCTCAGAGAATGTCTTTTTACAGTGGGTAAGCACCAACAACATAACAATATTAAACCAATTTCTCATCCAGGCATGTAATGGTACAGCTGACTTCTCAGTTCTGATGGGCAATGTTAAGAATAAGACAAACGTTTTGGGACCATATGTATATCAAAATTTTGTCTTTTCTCTGTGGATAAACTTTGGAGCTTCTAAGGAATACCGACAACTCAAGGCTTGATATGACTTTCATCTTTGTTTACAGTTTGCATTGCATTCTCACTTCAGATTACATGGCTGCTGGGAATGTCATGGCTGCCCGTACGTGCAACTCAACTGGTTCTTAAGTGGTAAATTGTGAGTAAGAACGCATAATTGAATCTGACAATCACAGTGTAAAGTTACGCTCAGTGTGATGGACTCTTTGCGAACACTAAACACTGATCTTCCGGGCCATCCATTTAATGATTGGTACGACTGAGTCGTCGTGATTTATCATCTATTGTCATGTTGAGTTGGAGTGTGAGGCCTAGAGCGAGGGAATTCATGGCTGCCCGTACGTGCAGCTCAATTGGTTCTTAAGTGGTAAATTGTGAGTAAGAACGCATGATTGAATGTGACAGTCACAGTGTGGAAGTTATGTTCAGTGTGATGGACTCTTTGTGGACACTAAGCACTGATCTTCCGGTCCATCCATCTAATGGGCACGACTGAGTCGTGATTTACCATCCACTATCATGTTGAGTTGAGTGTGGGGCCTGGCGCGAGGGAATGCAATGGTTAGATGACAGGTTTTAGTTAATATGCCTTCATTACATTCCATTATTTTGAAACTTAGCCTTCTTTCTTCCATTATTTTCCAGTCTAGCTAGTACTGTAGTCTTGCTATAAGAGGGTACTTATTGGTTATTAAAGTTAATTATTCATTATTGGTATACCCATTAAAGTAAATGTTTATTTCACCAGTATGCATTAATGTTCATTGACTGTTTATTTCACCAATTGCACATTTCTTCTCCCAATTGCACATTTCTTGTTTAGTGTTAGGTAGATGTAAACTGTATAATAATTTAGTGGGGCAATAGAAGTTGAAAAATCTGGAGAATTTGTAGGGGCTTCCATTTCGCTTGGGGTAAAGATTATCGATGTGTTTTATTTGAAATGAATTTGAAGAGATAGACCGGTAGAGATGTTACTTAACCTCATTGGAGAGTGTAAACGTTTGACTCGAAGGTAGTAGGGTATCAAAATTAAATATATTTTGTAACAAAATGTGGAATTACCCTAAAATTGAATATATCTATAGTAGTAAAAGAAGGGTTTGTATGTGAGGGTCCGTCTTCACGTTTATAGTGACAGAAAATCTTGTGGGATTGGTTCATGTATCCAAGTGTCTCCTCGCTTTCAATTTTTTTTTTTAATACTATTGACTCTATTACAAGATACTATCTGTTCTATACTTTCTCAATCTGTTGCAGCCCATAAAGTCAATACCCACCACCGAAGTTCGATCCTATGACCTTTCTTCAATGAGAGCCACAGAGGTAGCCACCCCTCGCTTTCGATTAAAAAGAAAAAAAAATATATTATGGGCTTGTGATCAAACTTTTGTCTAGTCTCATGTCAAGAGGGATGCTCTCTCCATCCCAATTAATGCACCTAGAAGATACCCTTCTTATCTCAATTCCTAGAGAGCTTCACTATCAAAGCATCAATAATTTCACAAACTCATTCTCCTCTCTTCTCCTCAGCTCAAATGGCACCCCCATTGCCAAAACAGCTAGGACAGTTCCTCCAAGAACAACAAGAACCTTTCACCTTACAACTCTACCTTCTTGAGAGAGGCCATGTAACCTGCAACTCCCCTAACTCACCAAATTCTTGCAAGTTCTTGAAGGGAACAAATTTGCTCCCAAGATGTCTACACCTTGTGAAGGCTGTTCTTGGCAAGCTTTCCCTCATCGACGCCACCCCGAAAATCAAGAAAACCCAAGATTCTACTGAGAGTGACTGCAATTCCTCTTCTGCTACAAGTGATGCAGAAGATGCTGGTCATCAAACAAGAATCAGCTCTACCCTTCATGGGAAACAGGTAAAATTTTCGATTCGTCAAAGGAGTTATAATAATTCTTAATATTGGGAAAACCATTGCCAGGCCAATTCAAATTGGTTGTTTATAAAAGCTTAACAGGTTGTTGCAGACAGAAAGGTGAGAGCCAACTGTGGTGAAGATAGTAAGCAACTCAGCCCAGTCTCAGTTCTTGAAGAAACAGAATCCTCTGAGGACGATGATGATGATGATGATGATTATGATGGTATAGTAAACTAACCCCACATCCAATTTCACGTTACGTGAACTATTAGAATCAAACGTTTATTATTACGTTAAAAATTATAAGTTGTAGCGAATGTGCAACATTTCAAAAGGCAGGTGCTGAACTCGACCGTTTAGGTCTCTGTCCAACAATTCCCTAGCCAACTGGTGCTGAAACGTAGCCTAATCTTAGTATACTTTTAATTTGTTGATGTGACTTTTCTTAAATTTGATCTTGTCCATGATAAACAGAATGTTTTGTGGGCATGTCGGATGGGACAAATCTTCTTCCTCCAGTGTACAGCAAGAACATGGTTGCCAGACAACAAAGTGGGAGAACCTTGGATTCAGATAAACTATGGAAGCTGATATGTGAGAGCATAGTGATGTGGAGCCAAGATTCAGTTGATGAAACTAACATCAACCATCTGGTTCTTTCTGATTTCATGGCTTCTGGCAAAGAATGGAGGGGTGTTGGTGAAGTTCAGGGAAAGGAAATTGGGGTGGGGATTTGTGGTATACTTTTGGAGGATATTTGCTGTGAAATTGTGAGGGATTTGATCAGTTTTGGTGCATGAAATGTAATGCTTATTAGTTGCATACAATTGAGAATGCCCTTGTTTCACCATCACCGAATTATATTAGCTGTTTTGACGAGGCCGAAATTAGAATAGCAGTTTGCGGGAAAATGTTTTGTAAAATTAGTTATTTACAGTTAGTAGTTAAAAGGTAAAAAGACACAAAACATCAATTGTAAGTTTAGTGTTGTAAATTAATATACTCTTTTATCTTGTTTTGTTTTTTTTTTTTTTTTTTTTCTTTCTTTTTGGATTGAAATGAGCGGATTACCTAAAGTAGAAACAAAACAGGTCACTCATCAATTTTATCTTTTTTTGGATTGAAAAGAGTAGTTACTCGATGTAAAGATAAAACAAATCACTCATCACATCGACCCTTAGAGAGGGGTGGTACATTTTGTCTTCCTCTATGACTTATCACATGGTCGAGGGGAGGCTCTTCAAAACAAAGCAAATCCTAAGGGTTATTAGTGACTTTATTATGCTCTCTATAGATATACATATCTAATTTTGTTGTCGATCATCTTCTAAATTCATGTATATACAAACTTGCAAGCAGGGACGGAGCCAGGAATTCTGTTGAGAGGGGAGGGGGGCGAAATAGGGATGGATTCATAAATTTTTTCCAGTAAAGGGGAAACATTAAAACAAAAGAGATATTTAAAAAATAAATAGATAAATTACCTAAGAAATATATGTGTAAATATTATTGGATATGGGCGAAAAATAAAACACATCGAAACTTTATAAAAATATCCATGTATAACAAAATATGAAACATAATTAATTTGATAAAATAATTTGAGTAAAAACATTATAATTAAATTACACAACTCATTATTAATATAAAAGAATGTTATATATATATATATATATATATATATATATATATATATATATATATATATATATATATATATATATATATATGTGTGTGTGTGTGTGTGTGTGTGTGTGTGTGTGTGTGTGTGTGTGTGTGTGTGTGTGTGTGTGTGTGTGTGTGTGTGTGTGTGTTAAATATTAAAAAAATTATTAAAACGTGACTATGTTAAAGCCATAGGGAACCCTTGAGACCTTTATTATAACCAAACACATGTTTTACCAACTAATCTAACTCATTTTTTATTAACAATCAACAGTTTTTTTATACTAATACTCAAACATGTATTATATATACATATATACATACAAAGATTATATATGGGGTGGGGGTGGGGTGGGGGTGGGGGGAGTGAGGCAGCTGACCCCCTGCTTCCCCCCCCCCCCCCTCCCCCCCCCCCCCCCCCGTCCAACCCGGGTACCATTAGACCACATAGGCCTGGTAATTTGCTGTATGGTTAGATGACCTATTTGACACTTATTCATATTTGCATAATTGAATAGCTCATTTGTTTAAACAATTCTCAATTGTTGATCTACCAAAAAAGATTAGATCCATCAAAACTTTTTACTTGCAAGCATGGACGGAGCCGGGGGAGGCAGGGGGTCAGCTGCCTCACTCCCCAGCCTCAGTGGAGACGTTATTAGTTCTTTGTGTTTCAGTAGGTTGAGAAAGTATATGAACAGATACTACAATGTAATAGAGCCAGTAACTTTAAAAAAAAAAAAAAAAAAAAAGAAACCACATGCAAATTGCAATTGGGTCATTGAACTCAAAAAAATTACAATTAGTTCTCAAAACAATATAATGCAAAATCATGCAATCCAAACTAAAATAACATGTTGACTTGGTGATATGCTAACGTGACAAAATTAATAATTTAAAAATATTTTTTAAAAATTTTATTTTAATAAATTTAAATAAAAAATATTTAATTTAAAAAAAAAAAAAAAAAAAAAAAAAAAAAAAAAACCACCCATGTTCGCAAGTTACTGTGGCTGGTTGTAAATAATTACTCCGAGTATTAAATTAACCTCAAATTGTTTTACCAAAACTTTCAATCATTGATAAATTAATAAACAATTGAAATCAATTTTTATATTTTATAATAAAAAGTTGTTCCCATTTGAAGCTATTCACGTACACACAGACACACACTCCATATTAAGTAAATACCAGTAGCTAGCACTTGCTGCGTTTTGAATCGCTAGAAAGACAAAGAAGTAAATACTAAAATAATAGAAGCATACATTATCCCGTGAAGTTTGGTTAATTTTAAAAATTGAATGAGGAAATAAATTGATAGCAATAGTCAAAATTGTGTTTTCACTTTTAAATTTGAACACTGACGTGAAGTAGGAGCTAGAAAGGATAGATTGATAGAATGCTTGAGATTTTTTATTTTATTTTTGAAAAAAAAAAAAAAGACAAAAGAAAACTACAAAAGAATGATACTATTCTCCGGAGCAAAAATGAAAACAATTTTTTTTCTTTTTGCATTTTATAACTTTTTCCCAGGATACCTGCATGAAATTAAAAAGAATAACAAGCTAGAAATTATATAAAACAAGATCACGTAACTTTTCAAGAATGTGCGATTAACCAAAAAAAAAAAAAAAAAAAAAAAAAAAAAAAAAAACATTCAAACACCAAGTGTCTGAAGAGTCATGAAATTCATGAAAGCCTAACTCTGTACTTTATCCAAATGTAGCCATCTAATTAGCAAAAAAGTAAGGGTCTGTGTACCAATAGAAAATTGTTCTCTATTTTCTGTTTTTTAATTTTTCAGTTTTCACCTAAAATTTAGTTTAAATAATATTGATATGTTTTGAGCTAATATTTAAAATATTTTTTTTATAGATATATTCATTTGAATGACATGTATATGAATATATAACTTTTACTTTGAATTCTAATATATGTGAGATTTCAGTATCTGATATCTGGACCGAACTTGTATTATGATGTAACATAATTAAAAATATTCGAACTTATAATCTATTGAGTTCAATCAAAATCTAAAATATTTTATAGAGTTTAATTCTTAATTTTGATTATGTAAATAATGTCTAACTTTAAAGTGTAAGCAAATAAATTATGTTTAAATAAGTAAAGTAAGTAGAAAAGATAGAAGATAGTGATAAGTAGAATAAGATGATAATGAATGTAATCATAGTAATGTGGTTAGAGTGACGTATAACTAAATAGATAATAGATGATTCTGTTTTCTATTTCGAAAATAGTTTTTAAGTGTATTACAGTTTTTCAGAAATTATTTTCAGTTTTCAAGATGGAAAACTATGTTAGTAACCTGTTTTCTGTTTTCTATTTTCCAGTTTCTGAAAATTTTCAGTTAGTAAATGGCCTAATAAACGTGAGAGAATATGCACTACCAATCTTTTCACAACGAATTACGAATTGTTTTCGAAATCAAAATGATGTTGCTCTAGCTTTAATGTTTCAAATAAGATTTTTGCAACTACCACCTAGAAAGAGGAAAGCATTGTCTAAGTCTCTAAGAGAGCTTAAAACAGAGTATACTAATGTTTCAGCCGCCATTAGCAGGGCAAATCATGTGTTATTTTACCTTTGAAAGGGGCACTGTAAAATAAGTGTAGTACCCATTGAAATGAACTAATGAACAACAAAAGCCTATGAATACAATTTTGATATGTTACTAAATATTTGCATAACATACTTCTCGTTGGGATAAGGTGTACAGCTTATAGTAGAATATTCTCATTTACAATCAAATTTAAAACTTGTAATTATCAACTAACAGACCAACTTAATTAAGATTATATCCAGATTGAGTGTCGTTTCTCTTCATAAATTGTAAAATTTAATCACAAAGCATTTTACATTTGGACATCATTCCATGACAAAACATCACCCATCCATATATATTATTCATTCAAAATTAAAAGTGAAAACTCAGAGCTATAATCTTCCTAAAGATTATAGTCGAATACATAAAGTATAAGTAAACTTTTATTATTTTATATATGTTTTTTAAAAAGAAAAAAAAAACTATAATTTCTAAATATTTTTTATGGGAGAAAAATATGAAGAATTAAGGAGTCCATTTCATACAAACATCTTCTTCTTCTTCTCCATGCGATCTTGAAAGCGGAAGCTGCGAAACTCTCACAACCTTGTCCTCCATCACACTGCATGAATTCTTACACGAAAAGAACAAGTTGCCGCCGCCGCCGCCGTTATTCTTCTTCTTCTTCTTCTTCTTCGCCGCCGCCGCCTTCTTTACTCCGGCGGCGGCGGCGGCGGCGTCATCTCTGCTAAACCACGTGAACCCGTTACCTTTGGATGGCCTGACGCTCTTGGTGCACTCCCTGTACGCGATCAAGAACGGATCGTCGTCCTGTTTCCTCATCATCACCCCTTTCTGCGACGGATTCCGCAGCGCCGCCGCCGCCGCCGCCCTGCGGGGCGGCGGAGGCAGCAGCTTGGGGTTGTGGTGGAGGAAAGGAAACTGCGGCGGCGTCTCCTTGCTGACGCCGGGCTTTTGCTCCCACGAAAAGGGCACGTCCCCCTTGTGATCTTCGCCCATTTTTTTTTTCCGATCCCGGGCTGTAAAATTCTGGGATTTTGTTTGTGGGATCGGATATTTATAGGGAGATTAGAGAATTGGAAAGGAAGATTTGGGCGTTAGGAATCTGCATAAAATCGGTGGCTGGGGTGGCTGTTCATGTGCTCTGTGTCAGCTAACGGCAAAGCTTGGCTTTAGTGAAGCAATGAAAGCGTGAAAGAAAGGAGATAAGAGTGGGTTTACAAGTAGCTTTTTAACAGAAACATAATATTTAGATGTTATATAATGATGTTGAACAAATAATGTACAAATAGTTGAGTGGAAGAATTAGCTTCCCACGTCAAAGCCCTACGTCTTACACTCTTTTTTATCACAAATTCCTCCCAAAAGTTTCAACCCTCTCCGTTACAAGTCTTGGTGGGGAAGGTAAATCCATCATCTCTTAAACCGTTTCAAAAATTTATAAGATTAATTTTACTTTTGATCGTTTGTCTTAAGTTGCGTGATCACTTTTAATCCTCCACGGCATGATTGCAATAGGGGCTAGGTGCTAGGTGCTAGTCGAGAGCCCGGGCAGCGCCTAGGCGGCCAAGTCGGTCGAGTTAGGCGCTAGGCGGACGCGACCGTCTAGGGGGGAAATCGCCACAGTCTAGGGGCGTCTAGCGCCTAGGCGGGCGCTTAGACCGATTTTTGCAATAGTGCTCGACGGTATAAAAATGACAAAAAATATTACTCACTCTAATTATTTCGTTTTTGTTTCCGGTCTTTTTGTCATAATTTTAGACGAGTTT